TAGCAGAGAAATGTTTGCTTGTGTATGTACACATGCTGAGGAATGCAACCATGAGAGCATAACAATTATGAAAGGGTGTACACCTTGAGAGAAAGATCCAAGAAAAGACAAAGACAGTCCCCAAATTCTTCTTTTATTCTGTATTACATCAATTGGCTTCTTGATACAACACAGAAACACTAAAGCTTAGTTAAATAATGTGCTTGGATTTTAGAGGAGGAAAGCCAAATCCACCTCTAAATCCAGCATTGGTTTAATTGAATAGGGACTAGGAAATAAAGAGAAATAGAGTTTATTGAGAGACAGCTGTAAAGTTTACCATATGGCACATTCCTTCTATTTGATGGTTATAGTCTTCACTTCCTCACTTGACACTTGTTATGATCTGGTGTCTAGCTTCTCGTGGCAGATATATTACATGCCCTACATACAAACTGTGCCATTTTGTGACCATAGTGTAAGTGGAACCTGTCATTGCTCTGACTATTAGATGACAGCAAAAGTGATGAGATGTCATGCTGTCCATAATTATGTTGCATTATATAGTGTTTTTGAGTAGAAGACTAAGAGAGATTCCCCTGCTAGCCTTGGCAAAGCAAAGACTGCAGGTTAGTAACTGACTGCTGAAAGGGTCCATGGTACAGAACTGCTATGGTCTATAGAACCTCAGGGAACTCCAACCAACAGTCAGTTCTCTCTGCCATATAGTGATAGGGAAATAGAAAATTTTCAACAGCCCAATGGCCTTGGAAAAAGATACTTCCCTGTCTGAGCCATTAGATGGGAATACCACCTAACTGGTACCTCTGTGGCCTGTGGATCTTAGAACAGAAGGCTTAGTTAAGCTATGCACAGACATCTCACCATGAAAACAATCTTTAAAGTCAGTTTGTTTTTCAGCAATAGGAAAAGAATACAAATCTTAGCATCTGAAACTATATTGTTACAGTAACAAAACCTAAAAAAATGTGGCAGTATCCCTAAACTCAGCAGTGAAGTAAGGTATATATTGGAAGGTATTTAAGGATATGGCTTGTATCATAACCAAATCAGAGGACTGTAGACTTTTATGGGGTTTTTTTTTTTCTTTAGAGACCCCAGAAGGAGCCAAAGTAGAGCAGGACTCTCATTTAAAACTGAGTGGGTGTGGCTTTGTCTAATGGAGGAATGAATGCCTGTAGAATACGTGAAAGGTCTTCAAAGTTCTCAAGAAAACCTCAAGAAACTAGTGTGAAAGTAGTGAGATTTATAGATAGATAGACAGAGACAGTGTTAGGTGTAGAGATAGAGACAGAGATATGATAGACAGAGATAAAGAGATAGAGATAGTGATAGAGACAGAAAGATATAGAAATAGAGATAGAGAGAGATAACAGAGATAAAGAGAAAGAGATAGTGAGAGAGAGAGCAAGCTAGAAATACAGAAACAGAGATAAAGATTTAGTGATATAGAGACAGAGATGGAAATTGAGCTAGATAGAGAGAGACAGAGACACTCAGATAGAGATGGAGATGGAAGGAAGAGTCTGTGTGTTGCTTTGTACTTTGGGCATAGGGAATTGCAGGAGTGAGTCCTCTGTGGCTATAGAGCATGCCATAACATAGAGAGTTACCAAAAAGTCAGTGCTCCTAATCCTGGAGAGGAAGCCGATGAATTCTTCAAGGAACAAAAATGAGCTGGAAAGCTACTTCTCCTATTCAAGTGTCCAGGAGGCAGATCAACTGGTATCATGTTTGCCCTTCTGTAGGACCAAAGCAATTCCAAATGAGCCATGGAATTTTTTGACCTGTGAACTTTCAGACAACTCACTCAATCAGAGGTGCTGTTCTCTTAGCTTCATCGTCTCAATATCTCTCAAGTACCATTTATTTCTTTATTTCATGGTCATTATCTTTGTTTGGAGCAATAGTGTTGAAGTCTTTCAGATTTTTATCCACAACACCCATGGTACTGTTTTCAGGATACCAATATGGCTTCTCCATAAGCCTTTACTCCAAGATCCCCCTGAGATGGGCAAAGAAAGAAGAAAGCTAAGTTGTGCTTGTTTTCACTGAAGTGGTGTGGAAGACTGGAATGGGCTCAGGGAGAGACAGTGGAGAGCTAGAGGGCCAAAGCAGTGAGGAAACAAGGCAGAGAGAGACAGGTCAAGGGTCAAGCTCTAAAAGGAGCTGATAAGGAAGCACCCGATGATAGGAGAGAAAAGGGTGAACATGGTTGCGATATTGGTACACGGAATAGTATAAAGGAATGACACAGAGAAGGTAATTTGGTTTTCCCGTGGAAGGTCATGTGCTGAGAATGGAAGGTTGGATGTTGAGATGGCTTGTGAGCCTGGAGGAAATGCTAAAGAGGAGCATGAATACAGCTTGTTCAAGTTAAGTCCCGTGGCTGCTACACAGTTTACTACAGTTTAGAAAACAGAACGACAGCAAATGTGTTTAAACTTGATATCTGTTTTTAGATGCATATGATGATCTGTTAACTGGTAAATGACATCTGGGAAATTACACTTCTTTATCATTAATGGTTTCAACTATTTTTTATTAAGTTTATGTGGGTAACTTTTGGTGCAAGTTGTTTTCTAGAACTAGTTGAATCCCACTAAGAGTAAAACAGACAGAAAAGGGGGTTATTGAAATTGTATCGGGTATCATCAATGCTTCTATTACCTACTAACTTTCGAGCATGTCATTTAGGGTAATAACTAGGTAATTATTAGTAAATGGACCATGAGTTTAAGTCTCAAGTTCTAGCTACAAAACTCCATGGATGCAAGCCTGCTTGAGACCTGGTGTATAGGGTGGCTCCTGGGTGGAACTTGCTGGGTTCATCCTCTGGGACAGGGTCCTCCAGTTGTATTTGTGACACTATCAGATATGTATGCAGTTGTGTGATGTGAGAGCCGAGCTGCTGTGAGCTCTGAGTTCACTGTACATTTAAGATTGTGATGTTGAACAAATAACCAGTAAAAATACTCCCTCATCTCTTTGTTCTTATCCCTCTAGGAAGCTGTGAGAACATTTAAGAAGACTTTGGAAATGCTTACGAGTTCTAGAAAAGGACAGGATGCCATTAATATTTCATCAGAGTGTCTGTATAACCTGGGTCTTTGTTACATGGAGGAAGGCAGCTTACTAATGGTATCTGTGTGCTTAGAAGCAGAGATTATTTGTGACTTCAAACTGGTTGCTTGCATCAGTTCTGTTTCTGAAGGCTACCTACAATAATGCCAGAAGTCAACTGACCAAGATTTCTTTTAAAGCTTGGCTCATAACAGGCAGTCTGCACCCATAATTCCCATGAATTGTTTTAAATTAAATATTTTATTTTATACTAATTTGCTAATAGTATTTTAAAGCTAATATGTGTTTCTCACCAAATAATACATCTAACTGTAGGAAATTATTGTAGCAAAATACTATCATCATACTAACTTGATTTATTAAATAGTAAGTAGTTAAATTGAGTATTTTAATGTTCTTCCGACTAAATGGATAACGATTAGACCATTCCTTGACTTTCCTTATTGATAACTGAAGAATTCAAATCAGATTTAAATTGGTTAGGACCACTAGATACTTTGGAAAATTGTGGCACCCTTTTATCCTGAAGCTGAACAACTATGTTTCACTGTAGTTCTTGGACCATAAAGGAGAAATGAATGCCACTGTCTGTGGTTTCTTTGAATTAATGAAATCCAAAGAATAATGATTTAAATTAAACCTCAAAGTCCTGTTATCTAACAACATGGATTATGTGGATGTTTATCTGGAAGTAAGGGGACCTTTAATTATAATAAGTCTGACTTATTTCTGAGGATTATGCTTGTTTATTCCACAAAGGTTTTTGGGAGAATGCATTTTAAATAGCCCCTCTCCCCAAAAGAACCCTCCAGTGAAGGTTTTCCATAACGGGTCTATACTTTATTAATCTTCTGAATTCATGTGTTCTGTCACTAAGTGGTATGTGCTTCATTATATTCTTCCAGGCTCATGACTCCTTTACAAAAGCTGTGAATGCAAATCCTGATTTTGCAGAAGCCTTTTATCAGCGGGGACTTTGTAAAGTAAAACTCAACAAAGATAGCTCAATTCTGGATTTTAATCAGGCAATTACACTCAATCCCGGACATTACCAGGTATTTTAATAAATAACATCAGTTATTTGGAGCATATGATAGTTTTGGTGAAGATATTAAATAGTTTATATATACTTGATAATAAAAGGCAGTTCTTTCTCTTCCCTTCCCTCCTTCTCCTCTTCCACTCCTCCCTTTTTCTCCTTCTTTTTTTTTTTTTTTTTTTTTTTGGAGACAGCATGTTATGGAGCACAGAATGACTTTGAACTCACTATGTAGCAGAGAGTACCCTTGAACTCTTGGTACTTTTACTTTTACCTCTCCAGTTTAGAGATGCAATTTGTTATCATATCTGATGCCAATTAACTATATTTTAACAACCCATATTTTTTGTATTTTTCTTCAGAACAAGAGTATTACTTTTGACATAGATCTTACATTTGTATAAATACTTTGAAAATTGCAATATATGTAAATATTTCAACTACATTAGCTTAGTTGTTAGTAATTTTAATTTAAATGCTATAAATTTTATTAATATCTTGCTTTTATATCAATGGATTTTGCTTCCTAATACATGTAAGGGACAACAAAAAAATTAGTAGATGAAATTTGACTGGGTCTTGATCTTTTTTGTGTCTTAAATTTGAGTTGACTAAATACTAGATAATTTTACAGAATCATTAATAACCATACTAGATAAATAGCATCTGTGTGGTTATGTAGGGTGATGTCTTTTTTTCACTGGAGACTCATACTAAAGGAAATGGGTTGAAGAACTGTAGTGTACACAACTTGTCTTTCAAGTAGTTTAGGGAAAAAATGGCTACACACAGTAGGCTACACACTAATGATTACTGAATCCAAGTACTAGCCATAAATATGATCCCTGTTAAATTATTTCAATTAGCTATATGTTTAAATTTTTTAGTGAAAAGAAATGGAAAAAAACTATATTTTAATATTGTCTTTAGGTAGCATAGAATTGTTTTAAGCTCCATATATTCTGTCTGGTAGAACTGATGATTTTACTAAAACATCTATCTCGGTTTTTCTCCTTCTCTGAAAAGGCATATTTAAGCCGAGTTGCCTATTATGGTTTAAAGGGCAGATACTCCAAAGCAATTCTGAATTGTAATGAGGCCATCAGACTTTATCCTGAGAGTGTGCGTGCCTACATCTGCAGGGGAGTTCTGAAATACTACAACAGGGTAAGCCATTCCTGCCAGGTTTACTAAGACTTTGGAGCTAAGGCTCCTCTTCTTGTTAACTGGGCACTCATTTCCTACATTTCTTCAGATATATGACTTGAGATTGTTCTATATATATAATTGTGGCCATCCCTGGCTTTTGGACTTAATCTTTGACTATATATGATACATAATATACCACCATAATTTATATTTAATTGCTTGATTGTTGGACATTTGGAATGTGCATGCATTTCACTATTCATTTTAAATAATGCATTTATATGTAATGAGAACAAAATCATTGCTTGAGTTCTCTAAATACAAATTCCTGGGCAAAAGACTGTGATATCTGATGCTGTATGGAATGATCCTTTCTCCCTGATTATATTTTTTGACTTTTCTTCCTTACTATTTTGTATGGAATGCTTTGCTGTAGTGTCTTGAAGCAAAGGTGAGTCCTTGCATTATATAGCAATTTCACAAAAATCACTATGTTCAGAAATGATGACATAAAGTGTCATAGGAGAATGGAAGGGGACAAGAGAGTGAATGTGAATAGAAAATGTTGTGGCTATGTGTTACAGCAGCATGAATGGTAGGTGGCTGTAAGTCATCCCTTCAGTGTTCACCATAGGACTGTAGATTGCGTGCCTTTTATATCCAGTATCAGTTTCTCTAAGCCATATAGCAACACTGGTGTAGTATGTGCTTAAATTATTTTTTGGGGATTTTATTTTTATTTTATATTTATGAGTGTTTGCCTGCATGTATGTTTGTGCACCGTGGTTGTGCAGTGACTGTTGAAACTAGTTTCAGGGTTCTGGACCTCCTGAAACTGGAGTTACAGACAGTTATGAGCTATAGGTTCTGGGAATTGAACCTGGGTCCTTAGGAGTAGGAGCCCAGTGCTCTTAACTTTTGAGCCTATTCTCTAGCCCACAATTGCTTAAATTTAAGTTACTGACATCCTTAATTTTATTTGTAGATGAAAGAACTGTAAGAATCCCTACCAGGATCTTCCTAGTGGACTTTGTGAAAGATTAGTTTCATTGTATTAATTTTAGAGATGTTACATAGAATCTTAAAGGAATGCTTCAAATACTGATAGGATCATGTATTTATTTTATGATTAAACCTTGTCTATGATGATTTACCCTTCCCACTCTTTCTTTCTCCTTGTAGACTTACAAGCTAGCTATTACAGATTTAACTACAGCTGTCAACATGGACAAGAACAGTTACATAGCATTTTATAACAGAGCATTGTGTTACACCAAGATAAAGGACCTTGATATGGTAAACGACCATTTTAGTAAATGAGAGATTTAAAGCATTCGAGAAGCAACATGCATTCAATGGTTCTTGACTTAGACAAGCAATCAATAAACAATATTTCAAAATCAACACGTGAAAGCATTTGTAAAATATATTTAAAGCACCTGTATTTCCTTCTTATCTCTGCTATAATCTTGGAAAAATAATTCCTATTGAAATACAAGCATGAAAGTTGAGAAACCACACAGAACCATTTCAAAATAATATTGATTTCTTTACTAGTGCTAAATTATCTCATGCTGTCAATTCATTTTATAATGCCTGTACAAATATTCAAATGCCTATATAAATTAGGATACATTATATAAGTATCATTTGAGTAAATGTTTTACTGATACATCACTGTACATAATTTTTATACAAGTGATCACTAGCAATATAAATTTTACAACTTGAACCCAAGCTTGAGCAGTTCATGGAGGAGGTATTTGTTGTAGAATTCTGAGACTATACATGCAGTGAAGAAGATAGAGTCATATGTTCCACCTGCAGGGACTGCTGACAGGGACTTGTGCATGTGTTGTAAAGGTTGCTGCAGCAACCGTATTTCTCTGTCAAACTTTGCGTTTGTATTTTCTAACCTTGCCCCCATTGCCTCATCCTTTGTCAATATGGCTGATTCCAATGAGAATTAGCTAAGTGTGATCCCCACCTGCAAGTTCTTTGTGTTCTGTTCCTTGCTTTTGCTTCCTTTCCTTGTCTACTGGTCTCTCCTTCCTACCTTCTGCTCCTTTTATAGCAGTAGCACATTCTTTTAGTAGATCATTGCCACTGTTCCAGGTGGACACACTCCTCTGTCTGTAAAACTCAGCTAAGGCTGCTTACAGCTTCTAGAGATTTGGAGGTCACAGGGAAGACAAAGGTTGAGAAACCTCCTGTCCAGCAGAAGAATGCAGCATTCTTGACAGCTAGCCCAGCAAGTTTGCCTTCTTCTAGAAATGTAGACAAATTAATAATTAATTTTTAACAAGGCAATTGTTAAAGGAGCTAACTAAAGGATCATTTAGCAGGGGGCCTATGGAGCAGGTGTCTTGGAGGACTTTCCTTACACCCCCATTCCTGCCTGAAGTTAAGCTCAGGCCAAACACAATGGGCTGGCCAAGGAAGCAACTCCTGCATGTTATCTCAGTTATGTGAAAAAGCCAATTCTTGGTTAATGAAGAACATGCAAACCAATCTGAATAAATGAGACCAAGAATAGGGTTGCAAAATATTGGTGATCTTCAAGGTGCCTGGACCCCAGAACATTCTGTCTGCTCATTTTTTACAGACAAGGACATGAAAGTAGGGAGAGGCCACAGAACTTATCCAAGTCACACAGGCAGTAGAAACTGGTGCTGACATTCAGACATTTTTTGTTTCTGGGTTCACAATCATTAGGGAGCTTTACAAAGCTGTCTGGCTCTGGATTGGCTGGTATGTCATTTCAAAGTGTCACCACCTCCCCTTCTGCCTACTTTCACCTGCTTTTCAGCATTCCTTCCATCACTAGGCTGACATACTTAGGCATTCTTTATGGATAGAGTTTCCTAAAATCTAAGCATGGTGAATTTTTTGTTTGAAATTTTAATAACTCAAGAGTAGTCACTATTGGTCATTTTCAAGTACAAATATTTAAACAATAGCAAAACCAAAATATGTATTATTGAAACACAAAACTGAAAAGTATGATGAAATTTAACCAAGTAAAATCTCTAAAGACAGGTAATTTTTTTATCAAATTTGCTGTCTTTGACCAACTCTGAAAAGTTACAAGAATTTTTTTCAGACAAAAGTAGACATTGGAATTTGTTTTAGAATCTCTGAATCAACTGGCTGTCAGATTGACTCCTATAGCAAGTGGATCATGAAGCTAGACAGGAAGAAGACAGCTTACATACCTCTTTTCTTTCCTTGGTACCCACAGGGAGGGGGCCTTCTTGAATGCCATGGCTCAGGATGGTTTTCTGATCTTCAGTTTCCTACATTCAGCAGGTGTTTAGAACTGCATGGTAGATTTTGACTCTACAATTCTATAATAATGAGAACAGTAGCCATTATATCTTATTTATGGGCTATTGTATGACAAGAACCAAGCTAAACACTTTATCAATATAAAAATCAAGGCATTTCTATTTTAGGCAGAAATTGAGGGATGGCGGGCACCATTGGGGTTTCTAGGTTCTCATGTACCCAAACAAGAATTACCTGCAGGCACACATGTAGGTAATAGAAGGAAAAGAATGGGCTTATTAAGGGGATAAAGGCAATTCTAAGCCTGGCAGTGGATCAAGGCTAGAGAAAAGTCAAAATTACCATAGGGCCTGAAGCAATAGATTGGAGAAGTTGTACTATGCATGCTTTCTTTCTTTCTTTCTTTCTTTCTTTCTTTCTTTCTTTCTTTCTTTCTTTCTTCCTTCCTTCCTTCCTTTCTTTCTTTCTTTCTTTCTTTCTTTCTCTTTTTTTTCCAAATGCTCTGCTGTATTGGCCTTGGGAATGAACATGTGGTAAGGGATTTCTAGACTAGTTTCATTCTTTATTTATTTTTGTTATCATTATTGTAAATTGTATGAGTTTTGTCTGCATGTATGCCTATGTATCATGTGCATGCAGTGCCCACAGAGAACAGAAGTGTTGGATCTCCTGAGATTAGAGTTATGGTTATGAACTGTCATGTGTGGGTGCTGGGAACCAGACCAGTGTTCACTGGTAGATCCTCAGTGCTTTAACTACCAAGACATCTCTCTGGCAATCTAACAAGCTAGTTGATTCAGAAGTTCTAAAATAGAGTCCAGTGGTATGGTATCTTTAGTATGCAAATTTTGACCTCACACTTCTGCCATATTTGTAAGTTGACTCTAAAATGTATTAAAAACTTAACATTCTAGTTTTGTAGCTGAGGAAATAGACTTCAAGTTAAGTAACTTTTCTCATACTGGGAATCTAGTAACAGCAACTGAAGATACAAAATCAGAGAAGGCTATGGCTCTCCCTCTCTTAACCAAAACTTTTAGGTTAGACAACCTGGGAAATGTCTGTAATTTCAGGATGTAGAGATGTGAGTCACAGGGATCATGAATTCAAGGTCAATGTGTTCTCCAAAGCAAGTTTTGACAGGGTGTATGACACTATGTATCATGAGGGTCAATAAAACAAAAGAAAAACCAAAACAGAAAGCTCCTTCAGTGTTCCCACATTCACCACCCACCTTGAGCATCCATCAACTCTCACTTAGAAACTTTTCTCATGTTCAGCTGCTTGACGGATCTCTAGAGCATCTACAGACTCTACATTCTGTGAGTCCATTGAAGCAATGAGTCAGACAAGGTGCAATGAACAGTCTAGGTGCTTCTTCAAGTATTGCTAAATATTTTGTGGGCCTAGCAATGGTTATATTTATATCGCAGTATACACATAGGATCTCTAATTGTACAGGATCTGTAGACACATGCATGTGACAGGAAATAGGAAAGAAGGGCAAACAAGCAGAAAGTTAAATTCTATTCATTTACCTTTTTCAGTTAGCAGATACGGTAGTCATACAAGAATTGACCCTTGTTGGGTCAACCACATGGCTCTTTTGAACAAAATATCCACCAAAAATAATTTAGAAGAGTTCACCCCTTAGTACTTAGCAAAAAAGAGACATCAGTGAAGCTTTGCCTCTTCAGCCAATGGGAAAAAAAAAATAAGCAGAAGTGATTCCTTCTTGGTGGATTTATTCTTTGAGCTCAGATAGCTTTCTTCAAAAACAATGCCTAAACTCATCAACAAAGTTTGAACTCCCCTATTTCCCTCTTCAGTCTTATTGTGATCCCTTTTCATTGTGGTTTATTCATTTGATACATTTGTGATTTATTCATTTGATTAAAACCTACCAAATGCCTATTACTAAGTTTACGGTGGTGGAGATTAAACACTTGCCTCCTGCATCTTAGGCTTCAGTAGGAAGGCAATACAAGTCTAAAAAGGAATTTAAATTTCAAACAGTAATCTCCATTATGTTTTCAAGTGACTTTGGAGGAAGTATCCAGTGTGTGTGTATGGGGGTGGGGTGTTGAGTCCATTCCTTCCAAACCATGCAATGCATATGTGTAAACATGGGAAGCAAACAAGGGGACATGTGAATGACAGGCATAGTGCGTACTTATTTAAAAGCAGCACTAGCCACAGTCATATAATTAAAAGGACCCTTCAAGTTAAGTATAGACTCCTGACACATCCCACAATTGATTCTGAGATCCCACTCTGGGTAGAGTCTCAGGGCTGAGTCATAAGCAAGGGTCTAAAGAGTTGCACCGTGGCTCTAAGTGACTTTTTTATTTTTAGGCTTTAAGAGATTATGGGATTGTGCTGCTTCTGAATGCGGGAGAAAGAATAACATTAAATACCTTCATTAACCGTGGACTCATCTACACTGAACTAAAGCTGTATGGTTTTGCACTAGAGGTGAGCCTTCCTGTGATGTTGGTAAATAACTACTTGATTTCGCACTTCTTCAGAAAACTAGTATTCAGTGCTACAGACTAGCAGTACTAATGAGTAACAGTGTTAGCAAGAGTGGTATTGAAACATCTGGCATCATTAATAAAATTTTTACAAGACCTAAGCACTTTCTCCTTCATTTTGATTACAGCTGAATGGTTAATGTGTTAATATTTTTTAATTAAGGCTATCATCATCTCCCAAAGGAAGTACTTAGAAAATTCAACTGTTTGACAAAATTGTTTGTACATATTTTACTCTGTTCTACAATGTTCTTTCTCACTCAGTTTCCCTTCTCCTGTTGAAATTTGTCAAAATAAATCAAAAGGGCAGGATATAGCTGTGTAGAATCGCTACTGAGAACAGCCTCTTAAGCCTTCAAGAGAAGGCCTTCAGGACTGGAATTTATGGAAGCATAATGGAAAGAAACAGGCAGTTATCAATTTATAGCTTTATAGAATAAATATAGTTCAGAATTCTCATTTTTAACATTTATTATGACTTGACAGTAATTATTGGAATTAAAATTTAGAAACAAGACACAGATGAACTATCCATTTACAATTAAGTGATAGTCATGTATTTGTTGCAGCCACACAGTATAATGAAATATTTCCTTGCTGCATTCCAGCTTTGACTGTGGTACAAAATTTATAATTTAAGCTTAGAGATAAGGACATAAATATTAAAAAGAGATTAAATAAGACCTTTGAGTTGAGTACCGAGGCAGGATCCAAACGCAGGTCCCAACATATTATAAATATATATAGAGATTAAATAAGACCTTTGAGTTGAGTACCGAGGCAGGATCCAAACGCAAGTCCCAACATATTATAAATATCTTTTTTTTTTTTTTTTTCAGACAAGGCAGTTTTAATGTTTGGTGAGTCAAGAGAGAATTACTCTGGACTCTTCACCTACCACATATTTAGTCCATTAGCAGGTCTAGTTCATTCTGTCACTGAAACAAATTTTGAACTATGTCAGTTCTAATTGTTGTTTTCTTCTCAACCAGGAAGTCCTAGGCGAGATTTGAACTCAGACCTCAGAACAGACTTTTCTGTCTCCTAGCCTGCTGAAGTAGCTTACCCCTGGCCATGCTGTTACACACTTACCCTTGCACAAGCATCTCCACACAGCAGCCCAATAGACCGCTGTGAAACATAAAGCAGATGAAGTTAGTTCTCTGCTCCAAACCTGCAGACCCATCCCTCCCGAGAAAACCTGGATTCTTGACCATTAAACCAAGGTTCTACTTGAGGTGACTGATGCTCACTCCAGACTTCACTGCCAGCCTCCTTTTCTACATTGGGCCCTTTCTACTTTGACCTTTTGCTACTCTCTGGTAAGGCCTGGCTCCCTTCCTGCTCTGAGGTGATACACAAGCTGACCCCACAGAACAAAGCTCTAAGCCCTTCTTTAGTTCAAGTTTCTGATTGAATATGATCATTCAGTCAAAATAAACTGAATGAGATCTTTCAATGAAAACTAAACTGAAATATTAAAAGACCTCAAAATAAATTTGGAAATGTGATAAATAAACACACACTGCAGAGACCAGCAGAACAATTACTAAGATATTAGACTCAAATCCAATGATGTTAATAGTTATATTAAATACAAATGGTCAAAAGGCACCAAATAAAAGAATAGAATATGAGATGAGAATTTTGGAAAAATATGTAGTATATTCTGAGTACACAGTTCAAATATAATGATAGAGAAGATGCATAATAAAACATACAAAAAACAAAATAGTAATAAAACTGACTTTGTGTAAGGGAAACACATCACTAAAAATTAAATACAAACATTTAAATGATGCATACAGTGCAAGAAACGATAAAGGCTATAACAGTATGTGATAAGAAAAGATCCAAGACAAAGTCATAAAGCTTATCCATGGGGAAAAAGATTTGTGGAAGGATTGATAGACTGAAACCTTAGGCGGCATAAGAACTGAACCATATAGATAGAAAGTCGGCAGCTATCTGAAGTTCCCAAGACCAGCTTGATCAGGAAGCATCTTGTCTGGAATGCCTGAGAGACTAATGGCATGTTATGTTATTATGGGAACCTTGGCCTGTGCCCTTTCCTTCTTACAAATCTACCAGGCAAGACAGAGGAATTAACAACAGATATAATAAAAGGTTAAAGTTAATATAGACATGATATTTAGGTATTACACAGTACTGTTCAAGGGTTTTATGCCTCAAATTTAAGTATATGTGAGCAGCCATAAAGTATAAGACATTTAAGGGATGCAAAGTTGGTACCCCCAAAGTTTGGTACCCCCAAAGTTTGGTACCCCCAAAACATATTGTCACAGGTACTTAAGGATGATGGATGAAGGGGAAATGTGTGGAGTGATGGCATCAGAGCGCTAAACTCTTCTGTGTAAGGAGTGAATGGCTACAAATAAGTTATATTGCTCATGTTATTTAGGAGTTTGAAGCCAAACCCCAGGGTAACACCTATAGTTAATTGCCTTAAGGGGGTGGGACTAGGAGGAAGGAGAAGTGGAAAGAGTATCACTGTTTAGCATTCTATAGTTTTATAAGATACCACCTACAATATGATGGATTACTTTAGGAAAAATAAAAGTAATAATATAGATGCATCTTTGGATCTCTTTACAAATTATTAAATCTGGTCATATTTAAATAACTAGTAAGTTGACAGAATTTGAGGATCTGGTTACAGCATTAGCTCCAATTTCAGGTACATTAGTAGTGACAGGATCTAGAAAGATGTTGCCATCTGTGGTTTCCAGAGAAGGGGAGTTGAGGGAGAAGCATGGTAAATTAGGGCAGCAAGCTTCCACAGGAGATGGGTGAGGATTCTCAGACACAGAATGACCATACTTGGTAGATTGCTTGCTTAGATTATGTTTAAAAAGATAACAGATTTCTGATTTCCATCCAGATCCTTCCATTTAGTCTGAAAATATGCTATGTAGCTTTAAGAGTAGGATCCCTACTTTTAGATTGGTCAGTGATGAGGCCATTTCCTTTTATAGGGACCCCAGGTTTTCAATTTGACTTTACTCCCCAATCTCTTGCCCTTAGTAATAGTGGAAAATTCATGCTACTTCTTGAGACAATAAGGCTCCTCCTCTAACAACAACCAGGGAAAGCTTGTGAGAAGAGGAGGGAAGGAAAATGATTGATTGAGGTGGTGCCTCTCTAGTTGGGCAATACCTTTGGAGATTCCTGTTGATGCTGTTCTCTTGGGAAGAACATGGCAGTTTTTATTTTCTAGAGGTTCTAGATGTTGGCTTTGGAAGGGTTTCCTCCTCATCATAGCAATCACTAATCATGTACAGTCACTACATTTGCATATAATTGGTATGAAACTGACATTTGTTTTATAGGTGCTATTTGATTACAAATTCAAGTTTGGTACTGTTCTTATTTTCTTGCATGCTGAAAATATTTCTGTAAGACTTTGAGGCGATTACAAGCTCCAGACAACATTTTCCACTTCTGGTTCTCTGAAACAAACTTTCCCCATGGCCATTCAAATTCATTCCTGCCTACTCCCCAGATTTCACATCCTAGAGTTAGAGTTTCCATTTCTCCACTTCAGGAGTGCTTCTGGATCCTTGAACAGAACCAAACACCTCCTTCCAGAAGTCTGAATTCCACAAGTAGGTTCAGACTTAGCCAGCCCATGTACAGTGCTTTGTTACCTAATGGTCCAAAAGTCATGTAATGCCAAAGATTCTTTCGGGGGAATTTCCTTTTGTGTCTGAGAAGGGAAGTTTCCAGTGCTATAAACAATAAAAGGAAGTAAATGAGATACTTTATTACATACCACAGAGCAGGACGACAGGAAAAGTCCCTGTTCTCAAGGTAGGTGCAAATAGCACAGGCTCTGGGAGTTAATAACGATTGGCATTCCCTGTTCCACCCATTCTCATAAGATGAGATTTCATGAAGAAGAAAGCGAAACTTTAACAAGATGTCTATTTTAATGCTTTATGTGAGGTATGCTTATATGGAATCAGGGTTAGAAGGAAGTTTTAAGAAAAACCATGACAAGTTAACAAGATCTTATAAAATCGTTTCAGGATTTTAAACAAGCTGCACTGTTAAGCCAGACTAGTGTGAACCTTTGTCAAGCTACCGCCATGTGCCACCACAGGTATGGAGCACCATTCTTGTCAAGGGGGAAGCAAGCAAGGGGAATCAGCACACATAACCACTTATAGCCCCACACAGAAGACAGAAGGGAATGGGAAGGGTGGAGGGAAGGATGGCTGCAATAGATTACCAAAATGGGAGTTAGGCATATAAAGAACCCTTTCATAGAACCGAGGACCCTATCAGGAGCACCTTTGTGCCTTCTAAGAAACTGACTCGAACAATATCAGCAATTCAGTATTTATATCATAAATTGAAGATATCCCTTTGATTCAAGCCTATACACAAAATGTTGATTAAGTGTTATGCGTCGCTTGAAATCTCTAGGCATAAAAGAATTTGTCTAGAAAATCCATTTCCTGGAAAAAAAAGGTGTGGTTTTAAAATATTTTCAAGAAAAAAATTGCACCAATAAGAGGTATTTGTATATCTAAAACTACTGAAAACAATCCAAGAAAATGTTCACAAAATATACTAAAGTCTGCAAATCTCTTTCTGAGATCTCTATAGAAACACATCATAGACAAGGACAGTTAGAAGTAACAAGAGTAACCCACAACCTTCAGAACATCTGTACAGATTTTAATACGGACACAATGCTATTGTTTAATAATAGTTTACGCCATTACTTTTAGTAAGAGAAATAATGCCAGTTCCTTTGGAGAAGTAAAGTGGGATGATTTGTAAATTATAGAGGTGCATCTGTGCAAATACACAGTTTAAAGGACTAGAATAGAGTTTCAATTAGTTGGGAAAGTGACATTCTAATTTTCCTTTTTAGTATGCAGATATACAGCTACATTTCCCCCATGAGAAGTAAAGCTCTTTATTGTAGGGAAAAAGTAATACAGTTGTTGTAAATTCTGCAGATGCCTTAGGGTTAAAACGTGGTCTCAGGCCTTTGATTATACACAGTCATACCTTTGTCTATTTTGATGCATCGATCTTTGTGCAATCCGTCTCTTTAAGCACTTGTCATTCTTAAGAAGAAATGGAATGGTGACTGATGTGTTGACTTTGGTGGACGTGTGTAGGCCAAAATGTCTGAGATCATTGCATCTGTCAACGTTTGAAACATCCCACAATTTTGCTCAGCCTCACTTCTGTTTAACAGCTATTAGAATGGGTCAGTGTCTCCTGGTGTTGGGCTCATGTCTTTATGAAGTGTGATCTTGGGGTACAACAGCAAAAGCTCCTTAATGTTGCTATGCAGTTCCAAATAACCCACTCCCAGCTGCTCTCTCGGGTCCCCAATGTTCTCTAATAAAAGTGGAATTTAAATCAATAGCAAAGCCCTGACAGCTTGGAGTTTTAATTCCATATGTATTGAATTTTCAGTTTTACTGAACTTTAACAAAAAAGAATATTTAGTAATCATAAATTCCTTAGGAAAATTATTTTGCCAACACATGTACACTATGAAAGAATGGCTTGCAACTATTGAAGTTATTTTTGACATCCTTTTTTTTGCATCAAAAACATTTTTTTTCAACTTGGGAAATTTTTTACAAATAATAAACCTTTAAATTTTAGAGCTTTGATCTCTGAACTTGGGGAATTGAAGACTTTCAAGCATCCTTTGTATATTTCTAGCTTTCACTCTTGTGGTTGCCAGGAGACAACATTCCTTAGACTGAATATCCTATGTACGCCCAATGTAATCACCAAACGTGTTGTGGTAGTGTGAACTTTTAGATCTCAATGAGAAAGCCATCTTTGTATTTTAAAAAATAATATCTATTCCTTGGCAAACTTTTATAACCAGAACACATTTATCATGCTATTTTGATATTTGCATAAGCTATTTTTAACTCTTTAACCCTGCAGGTCACATTCTTCAGTGTTTGGAGGTATTTGTGATTTGTTTGTACAATTCAGAAGGACATCTCTGGACACATCTGTGATTACTGTAAATGCAGTGGACCTTTGTCAGTGACTCAGACTGTAAACTTGAGCTCCTCGTGAGAACAGTCATGTGACTTTAAGACTCAAGCAAAAACATTTATTTCAGAATAAAACTTTTAATGTACTTTGTCAATGAACACTTACCCTGAAGCAGTGTAGATATTCTGATAGATCTTCCCACTGGATAACGGCCATGTTAGGGCTTACTCCAGCTGATAGGATGGATGCTGTGGCAGTCCCATCTCCAGGAAAATGAAAGTGCACTTTCTACAGGGCATCTGGTTCATTTCTCCTGTGTTTACTGGTGTAGGAGGTGGGGGAGACCCTGTCTTCGGTTCTGCCAACTGGTCTTTCTGTGGCTTTCAGTCATGGATAATTTTAACGTGCTTGTTTACTCAGCGGGACAGACTAAGTGTGTCTCAGCCTTAGTAACTGATAGATAAAACCACCCTTCACAGTGCATAACTTGCACCACAGAGTAATGGGCTTTGATTCACTGTCTGACTTGCTGCTGCATGTGTTTGTAATTGGGTAGGCTACACAAAAGAAAAGATTGTTGTTTATAAGCCCTGTAGCAGATTTTTAAGTTCCCTGATGGCTGAGAAGAGCAGTGGATGTGATACAAACTGAATACCAATATAAGAGAATGCTCAATAATTTATAGTGAATATGTGACAGTTGCCTGGAAAATACAGAATACATAGACTATGTGTACATGTTGTAAGTAAATATTCTCTACCCATTGGTGGAAATACTGAATACAAGAACATCTGTCAACAAATGCATTTTACACACAATTCCTATGCCATCTTTATTCTTGATGAATAGGGATAGTCTGTGTGTAGAATTGCTGGTGTAATCCACCAAGATGGTACCTGGAGAGGCACTGTGATCCCACATTCAAATGAATTGGCACATCTTAAATAGTGGCAGTTACTGAGAAGGCAGTGTGGTCACTGTAAACTAGAGAGATGGTCATGTGATTTCTGAGCAGCCACACACAGAATGAACTCTGAAGATATGTGACTCGTGAAGGTCATTGTTAACCCTTGCCTGTCTGATGCATCAAAGGCCACATGTCCCTATTACTTCAGTGTTGATCCTTGTGATAGTCTAGATGCCACTCAGTGCAAACCTTTGGGTGGTGTTTGACCAAAACCAAAAACAACAACAACAAAAGATGGGCACAGAATCATGAGGGTTTTTTTCTCTAAGATTTATTATTTTTATTTAAATGTATGTATGTGTGCCCAAGGAGTCCAGGGAGCATCAGATCCCTAGAACTGTAACTATGAATGCTTGTGAGATGCCTGATATGGGTGGCTAGCAACCCAAGCTGGGTCCTGCAATAACAGTAAGCATTCTCAACCAGAGCACCTCTCCAGCCCTCAATTATTTTTGTTGCTGTTATAGACAAAAAATACGAGCAAGCAATATGCAAGGTCATTGTTTTCACTGATGTCCCCAATGAAATGGGATATTCCTTAAAAAGAAAATAATTACTAAATATGTATTAATTTATTTTGAATTAGGAACAAGATTGTTTTACATGTCAATCCCAGTTCCCCTTTCCTCCCCTCCTCCACTACCAGACCCCCCTCAACTAAAACCCTACCTTTCACATGTCCTTTCTGCTCCACAGTGAGGGTGAGGCCTTCCATAGGGGGGATGTCACCAGAGTCTGTCATATCTTTTGGGATAGGGCCTAGGCCCATCCCTGTGTGTGTTGGCTCAGGGAGTATCCCTTTATGTGGAATTGGCTCCCAAAGTCCACACCTATTCTAGGGATAAGTACTGATCTACTACAAGAGGCCCCATGGATTTCTGAAGTCTTCTCACTGACACCCACGTTCCTATGGTCTGGATCAGTCTCGTGTTGGTTTCCCAGCTCTCAGCCTGGGGACTAAGAACTCCCCATTGTTCAGGTCAGCTGGTTCTGTGTGTTTCACCAGCCTAGTCTGGAACCCTTTGCTCATCACTCGTCCTTCTCTGCAACTGGATTCCAGTTCAGTGATTAGTTGTGGGTGTCTGCTTCTACTTCCACCAGCTGCTGGATGAAGGCTATAGGATGGCATATAAGTCAGTCATTAATCTCATTATCAGGGGAGGGCCTAAATACATATAAATTTATTTTTAATGTATGCTATGAGTCATTCAGTTATGAGGTAAATTCCATAGGAGGCATTATTAGGCAAGTTTGTTTTTCTGTGAGAATCATTAGTATACTTCCATATATTCATGTAGTTATGGCATCTCTAGTGTGGATTATCGTTGTGTATATGGTTCTCTGTAGACTGATGCATTATTAGACGGATCAAGACTAGTTTAAATAGCATCTGTTGTCAATATCAGTGCATGCTTTTCTGTGTTTGTAAATTATCATTGTTAAAACAGTTTAGGACTATCATTTAGACGTCTGTATTTTTGAATAACAGAATTCTAAAATAACATCTACACTGTGCTGTGAAAATGGGTTTTAATTTTTTATATTTATTTATCCATTTGGTGTAAACATACACACATGTGGATATTAGGTAACTATTTCCTTCCACAATGTGGGTTACTGAGATCAAACTTAGGTCATCAGGCTGGGCAGCAAGTGCCTTTACCCACTGAACCATCTTGTGGCCCTTGAAAATGATTTTTTACTTCCCTTATTCTCCTTACCAAAACCTCCAGCGATTCTTCCAGAGTTCTGTAGATCACATAGACTTATATACTTCTTATAATAGATAATTAAAATAAGTGACTGTCTATAATCTTTAATACAAATCTTTTGGGGAAAGTCATATGCAGAAAACATTGAATAGGTTGCTATTCAGTTCACCAGAAGGCATCACATTTTCTTTCTTTCTTTTCAGGATTAAGGAGTTTGAAGGAGCTGTTGATTTCTTTACCAGAGCTGTTAATATTAACTCATGTTTTCTGGATGCTTATATTGGGCGGGGGAATTCTTACATGGAGTATGAACAGGATAAAGCCCTGAAACTAGCACAGAAGGACTTCCTGAAAGCTCTGCATATTGACCCATCATCTTTAAAAGCCAGAATTAGTCTAGGCTATAATTTGCAGGTAAAATGTAACAGCATTTTCAGCACTGAGAACATTGTTCAGACAGAAAAAAAGAAAAATTTGGCTTTTTATTTGTGATGTGGACAGATGTGATTTCTCAGGCTATGAACATTTAGTTTTTCTTTACTGTAGTATGGAGGGTAGGATTGGGGAGCAAGGACTCAATTAACACAGAGAACATGCTTAGATGAGCCTGAGTTCATCTAAGACTGATAGACAATGCTGGAAGAGACCAGATTAGTTGTTATTAGGACCAATGCCCAGGAACGTGTTAAGAAGAAAAGATTCCCTTCCTAGAATGAAACCTAAAATTTAAACAATCCACAGCCCACTTAAAGAATGGATTGGAGGACTTAACAAGAGCTAGATTAGACTGGCGGCCAATGCAATATGCTCACACCATCAGCAGGTTGAACACCTACAATGTGGATGAAAAGTGGCTCTCAGCCCCCAGAGACAGCCTTCTATAAGAAACAGTTTCTTTGGGATAGTTAAACTCCTAGTTTGGAGAGAGAGGCACTGTTATGTGCATGAGTAATTATTTGATTGTAATTGTAATAAAGGCAACAAAAACAAAACAAAACAAAACAAACAATAACAACAACAAAAAAAAACCCAAAGAGTTTTGGTATAAACCCAACTAAGGGGTAAGAGAACTTACTGATAAATTTATATTTATGTTGAGGTGTCAAAGACTAGTGATTCGATAGGGGAGGGACTAGAGCTAGGATTTTGTCTTGAGACTTAGGGAACAACCAAGGACATATTGTAAGAAGATGAAGAGCAGAATGTGGTGGAGAGAGGGAGATTTGTGATGGCATCAGAGAATTAAATGAAACCTGGAAGAAAAAGCTTTGAATTCTAGTTAAAATGGGAATATTACTAATCAGAGATGTGCCATCAAATTTGCATTTTGTGACAATCCCACCAGGTATATAACCAGGAAAAGCACATCAGTATGTGGGAGTGAATTAGGAAAGGGAAGGGCCAATAGAGAAGAGTTAGAGCCGTCCACGTGCTGCCCAGGGAAAGGAGTGACAGCCTGCTCTACAAATACATATATATTCTTTACTGTTCACCTAGGACTGGGGCTATCATAGTGAGCATAGCAGATGTCAGAACAACTGACAAGCTAAATCCTATTGTGAGGTGGTTTGAAGTTTAATATTTTGATAGTGCAACCTCAGTTTGCCTACTTTTGTTTATTAGATGAACTTATTACGGCTTGCAGATTTCCAAATACTTGACTCAGAGAGATTGCTAGTTAGGAATCGGGATCTAGTCCTCTTTGTAGTTATTTTTCTTTATAGCTTTATATGGGAGTCACTGGGCTCAATTTGGTTAGAGTGTGCCAGATTCTGAGACTCTGGCAGGTTGAGTATTCGATCCCATGAGACAAAGAACAGAAGCTGGACCATTGTGAATTAATTAACTCCCTGTCTTCCTGTGGGGAGGTGTTTAGTTGCCAGCTGGCCTGCTCTAGGAAACACTCTGACATCCTTCTATTAATGTTGCCTGTCTCATGACCTTTTTTCTCTTTTCTCCAATTGGCACTAAGGCTCTTAAAAACAGATGCTTGGTAGGTTTTCATGCATCCATCTTCTGTGGAGTATATAGTGTCCCTAAACTTCCAGATGCTGGAACAATTCATTTGCACTATTACTCCATTTATTTATGTAGCACATACTAATTTTGCTTTGTGCACTATGCATATATTATAGATATCTGAAATATCTACCTACCTACCTACCTGTCTGTATACAAACACACAGACAGACAGACAGACAGACACACACACACACACACGTGTGTGTGTGTGTGTGTGTGTGTGTGTGTGTGTGTGTGTGTGTGTGTGTGTTAGTTGAGACAAGGTCTCCCTGTGTAGACCAGGCTGGCCTCAAACCCACAGTGATGTGCCTACCTCGGCCTGAGTGTGTGCTACCACTTCCAGCAATTTGTGGATTTCAATGTAAGATTTTCTATAGTCAACAGACATATGGGTGTCACATAGTAGCTATGACTTTAAGTTGTCTAAGATTAGTATAGTGGATGACTATAAAATTAAATGTATTTGAACATAATTTGAACATGAATACTTAAAGACAATGAAGTCTATGAAGTCGCTCATGTTGTAGCCTGCTTTTTTATTTAAAATACCTTATCTTTAGTACTATATACTATATATATCACCAAAGATTTTAATGAGTAAGAATCAGAAACATTTGTCATGTTACAGACTGTTTCTTGCTTAATGAAATTGAATAACTATTTTAGATCCAAGGAAAATTCCAGAAAGCTTGGAATCACTTTACTATTGCCACAGAGATTTATCCAAAGAGCTGTTTAGCCTATGAAGGACGAGCTGTGGTTTGTCTCCAAATGAGTGATTATTTTGCTGCAATGCAGGATATTAACACTGCCATAAAGGTAACATCTGTATTGATGATGATATTATTAGCATGTATTCATACCATCAATGAATAAGTCTAAGTAAGTTGTTTTCTGTTACCTATTTTAAATGATATGTAGAGGAATCAGGTTTTGTTTCCTCAGAGTTGTGCCTGGGGTAAAGAGTTATTGCGGTTTGCTTATTTTGTAATCTAAATGCATTTTAAAATTTTAAACCAAATTATTGATAAGCACTGATTCATTTTAACAAACGCACCTTGTATGTTTCATAGGACCTTTATAGTATTTTGTAATACAAAATGAATTCAAAATGGAACAGTGATGTCCCAAGTTTGAAGCACTTAGAGAACACCATAGATATTTGGCTTCTTCCTATAATGAAGGGATAGCCTTCTCATGCTTTGAATTCTCTTCCAGGTTTTCTGCTTTGTTTCTATAATTTTGGAATATTATAGAAGTGATATAAGGGGTAAAAAGGAAAGGGCTTAAAGAGAATTATTTCTACATAGGACAGTGAAGCATGTTAACTGTTCAATTTAATGTCCTCTCTCATTTAACAGATTAACAGGTAAATGTCCCCCATGTCTATTCCTTGGAAAAGACTTGAGTAAAGCTCTGAAATTATTCGTTTTATGGCAGCCATTCAATAAAAGCATTGACATGAAACCAATTTCATACCAAGCCCTTTCTGAAAATATTTGCTCTAATTGGGTTTTCCCTGCACTGTAACAGCACTTGTTCCCACAAGTGGATTTCATAACATTCATTTCACAGACATGAAATTGGAGATTAATGCTATTCCCAGATGCCAAATCCTCCTATGATTATGTTGCAGATCGATACTACAGCAGAATTCTTAACAAATCGTGGTGTGATTCACGAGTTTATGGGTCGAAAACAGAATGCAATGACAGACTATGACGCAGCAATTTCTCTGGACCCCGAGTACTCGCTGGCTTACTTTAATGCTGGAAATATCTACTTTCACCACCGGCAGTTTTCTCAGGCATTGTGAATTTTCCTTAACATGTTCTATTGACATTAAATACTTCTGTGTTATATACAGTTTTAAAGTGAGGCATTTATATCTTAGGTTAGTAAATAATGTTCTGTTCCATAAAGGTGCTTATAATTTTCAATTTTGTTTGTTTGTTTTTGTTTTTCGAGACTGGGTTTCTCTGTATAGTTTTGGAGCTTATCCTGGCACTCACTCTGGAGACCAGGCTGGCCTCGAACTCACAGAGATCCGCCTGCCTCTGCCTCCCGAGTGCTGGGCTTAAAGGCATGTGCCACCAACGCCGGGCTAATTTTCAATTCTTACATGCTTACAGTTGTGTAGATTTATGCTCCTTAGTGTTTCTGATCATTCAGTACTGGTCCAGTAAACACTGATTTTAATTTTCTAGCATTTGGCTGTTCTCTTTATCTATCTAGTTTCCAGGCTGGAATTCTCTTTTCTTTATCATCCTTTGACTTCCCTGAAGATCCTCTTTATGCCAGGATGAGTTATCTAACTCATGTTAGGTTACGTTTTCTAATTATCTGTCACCAGAGCACAGGACATAAAGGAGACACATTTTAGTTCTACTTTTGTGTGGACTACTTAATCTCTTGCCATTCATTTTATTCTATCTGAAACAAAAACTTGTTAGAATTTTACATGAGATAATTTACTATACTCGAAGCGGAATGTATTTAGAGGATCAAATGGGTCCTCATCCTTTTCACTACCAGTCTTCACAAGGTCTACAGTAGCCATCTTTCGGTTCTATCTCAGATTCTCCACACAGCTTCTCCACTTCAAACCCTGCCCTCACTGATCCTCCATCTTGTTCTTGTCAGCGCTCCCAGTGACTCCTCTAACCTCCTTTCCTGGATCCCACAGGAGCATTAGATACACGAAGTACATACTGCTTCACAAAACATTCTGCTCTGTTGCTCTTGTCATCAAACTGTCCAGATGTTCCATCCTAAGTAACAACCCTTACAATTTGCTGATGTCTGCAATGAATCTGGCTGGTCAAGATCAAGTCATCGAAGGTGTAGTTGTCTAAGACATTGGTGGGTTGTCATTGCTCAGATGCTAATGGGCAGTTGTTTTCCCAGGTTTATAAGCCAGTGTCAGTTGCCTTAAACTTCAGATCAGTTTTTGGCTCAGTCCCAGAAATGCATTTTTGCAGTGTTAGTTAAGGAGACTGGGTCCAGTGATCATGCTAGACACTGGAAAGACTGAGGCAGGAGGATTTCAAGGCTGTCCTCAATCCTTTAATGGGAACCTGTCTCAAAACCAGTTGGAGATACAGGTCAGTGGTAGAGTGCTTGTTTAGCAAATGTGAAGTTCCATGTTCAATCCCCATTGACACAACAAAAGAAAATAATTCATAAGATTGAGAAAAATAAAATTCCCAAGGCAAAATTCTGTTTCTATAGATGATTACATTCTGCATGATGGAAAACTTTACTTTTTAAATTTATTTTTATTAACTCAGTGATTGTCATATGTAAAACTACTGATTTAATTCTAGCATGTAATTCTATATGTAACATGTAATATATATATATGTTAGAAATATATATATATCAGGAACTGATAACATAAGAAATTTTATGGAAACACAGTGGTGAAGGTCCAATATATATATATATATATATATATATATATATATATCTATATGGAAATGATGATGGCTCAGTAGTTAAGAGCACCTGTTGTTCTTGCACAGGACCAAGGTTCTGTCCTGGAATCCACATGGTGGCTCACAGTCATCTGTAACTTCAGTTCTGGGGATTTGGTATCCTGACTTCTGTAGGCACCAGATATAGGTGTGGTACATTTACATATATACTGGCACTCACATAAAATAAAAATAAATATCAAAAACTGTTTACAGTATGGCTCTATTTGCCCAGCAATGCAGAAATATTACCTAGAGAAATATTTCACCTAAAACTATTTCCTGTCTTGGTGTGATGGACGCTTGTGTGTTCGTTCAGAGCCTAACAAGTGTTAACCTTAGCTACTCAACTGTGCTGCCATGTCTGGTCCTCTCTATGGAGAAAATGACTTCTGTGACCCTTAAGTTATTTCTGAAGGAAGATACTAGTACAGGAAGAAGGATGCCTTATAAGAAAAAAATAATTGCCATAGAGTTAAAACATGTATGAAACCTGCCTCCTGTTTATTATCAAGTTAGTGACAGTGGTGCTTTAAAAACACATTTGTTTGAGACCCTTGGTATGAATGATTAACTGCAGATGACTTTGGGACAATAATTCAATCTTCTTTATGATTGATTATAGATTTGGGGCATCAGATCAGTTGTTTGAGTCTCAAGGGGTTTAATTTCATTGGCTTCTAATTGTTTCATACTCCTCTACTTCAAGTAATCTCATTAACTTAATAGGTTTTCAATTTGTAAGTAGTATACTTTGGAAGCTATAGCATGAAGTTATGATGTAGGAGTTAAAGTGATGGCTCAGTGGTTATGATGAACACTGACTGATCTTCCAGACAACTTGGGTTTGAGTCCCAGAACATACATGGAGGCTCACAGTCGTCTGTAATTTCAATCTTGGGGGCTCTGATGTCCTCTTTTGGCCTCTGAGGGCATTGTATACATGTAATGCATAAGCATTCATGAAGGCAAAAATACCCATAGACACAAAATAATAAAATGATAATACAAATAAAATTCTGTTGTTCAGAATTAGGTGCACTAGTGTATGACCCTTCATGTTTTGTTCCTGTTTGATAGAAGGCACACTTTTGTGATTAGATAACTCTAAAGTCTATTCACCATTTGATGATGTGTTAAAATGAAGCATAGATTGTTTTTATAAAGAAAATCGTGATTGTAGGTATTCATTTGTTTTATTTCTGATGTCTGTGGATATGATAGTTTCTTCAAGGGTGAATTTTTTTTAAAGCTATTCTCAGATGTATGCCAGTTCTGACCCTATCTCAATGAATTCTTAAATTGTACTTGAGTATGGCATCAAATAGCTGCCATCAGGGATAAGAAGGGTTATACAGTCTGGATGTAACTGTCCTTCAGAGGTCAGAGGAAGCAAAGTTCATGAAGAATCACCTGAAGACTGTGTTGCCTCTGCATTTATAGCTATTGGGGAAAATTATCTGTAGCAATTGACTGAGCCTTACGATATTTTGCATACTTCTGTCAATATTTCACATATATGCTCAACTCATCCTTTCATCAGCAATAGAAGTAAGAGTTTGTCACTTTCTCTGGCAGATTAAGAAATTATCACAAATAAAGCTTTAAAACAGCCAGTCCTAAATAGATACTTTCCTCATTTTGACTCATAAATATTGCATCACATTTACAGAAAACTGACTAGAACATGGCTAAAAAACAAACAACAGCAAAAACTGGGCAACTTTTGGCTCTCAATTATAAAGACTTCTGTATTTGAGATAAAAACGCCATCACTGCTTTCTTAGAAATCCATCATGCTTAACATTAAATTAAAATGAAAAGACTTTAGATTTCTTGATATCTGTTAATTAAAATACATTAAAATGTTCATTATTCTTAAATTTTATAGGCCAACGACTACTTTTCAAAGGCTTTGGAGTTTAATTCAGAAAATGAGTATGCTCTCATGAATCGAGCTGTTACAAATATAATATTAAAGAAATATGAAGAAGCGGAAAAAGATTTTTCATGTGCAATTGAACACTGTCCCCATTGGGCTACATTGTATTTTAACAGAGCAAGTCTCTATTTCTGCTTAAAGAAGTATGAGCTAGCTGAAAAAGATCTTGGCGTAGGTAGGTGTTTTGTAATTGAGAAAATGGTAGCAATTACTGTACCTCTTTTCAGATTCCAAAAGAACACCATCAAGCCTTTTTGTTTATGTGGAATCATTTATGTGACCAATACATATTCCTTTGTGTAATGTCTCATTTTAATGCATTGGTAAGATGAGTTCAAACCATTGGGAAGCCACATACAAACAATGTCAGTCTTCCAAAGGAAGGCATTGCACTGTGATTTCCTGGATTAGTCTTCTCAGAAACATCTGGTGTTTCCAATTGTATTTCATTGTTCCATTTGAAGAAAAACACTTAAAATGAGAACTATAGAAGGTTTATATCAGCACATCTAGACTTTTTTGTTTTCTTTTGCAGCCCTGTCTTTGAATCCCAGTGAAAGTGCATTATATAATCTCAGAGCACAAGTTCGTGGCAAAATAGGACTGATAGCCGAAGCTATGAGTGACTATAACCAAGCCCTTGACCTTGAAGAATGTCCCTCAGCCATGTGATTACACAGACTCTTGTGGTTTCTGTACTTGGTTAAGTATATTTTCTTCCTGAAACTGAAATATAGTTGTTGTTTGAAATGCCTCCATTGTTACTGTATTTATTACACTTAAGTGGTTATTCTTTATAACCACTTAATATATTTTAAGAAATTGTTTATATTATTCATTATCTACAAAACTTTTACATGATTTCAGACAGTAATTGGATCTCATGAAGCCTTGTTCATATCAGTGAAGTAAGAAGAAGTGGCTTTCTGGTTCACCTAGTACCTTGATAGATGAATTTCTTCATGGGATACAAGGTCTTAAAAAGGAATGTTAATCCCTAAATTGTTTTCTGAAATAGAAGAATGATAGAAAAGGTATCATCAAGGATTTTTTCAATGCCTGTTTAAGCATGTTCAACAGTTTCCAGCTTGAAAAAAATAAGTATTAGATGATGGGTATAAAAGACTGATGTCTAGCTACTTCTCCCCGCCTTTAACACTGTACTACAAGCCGGGTTTCTTCCTGGTCCCCGTGTTCTTCCAGCCCATAAACATGTTTCTTTTTTATGTGCTGCTTGACTTCCAGCATAACAGCTACAAGGATTTTGAACATTCCTTTTCCTTGAGATAATTCATTCTTTCTCTCATTCAAATTTCACAAGCATACAAATAAACACCTATAAAAATCTGTGTACAGTTGCAATTAATGCTTCATAGAATTCTGTGAACAAAATTGAAGCTTTTGACTTTTTTTGTTCAGAAAAGATCTCACTAGGTAGACTAGGTTGGCCTTGAACTCATAGTCATCCTGCTCCCAATCCCCCAAGTGCCAGGATTTCAGGTATGGGCCAAAATGCTTGCTTAAAAATTCATCATGGGATGTTTCTGAAGGATCTTTGGATGAAGCAGAGTGTTCTTTCTTCTTGCTTCACTACTAGTGACCAAGGCTTCTTGATTTCTAATTTACTCAGATTTGCCTCACTCAGGTGATTTTTCCTATTGTGGTGTTTTAGTCGCCAGCACTTTAGAGTACTGCTTTCGTGAAGATAAGGCATAGTTGTCCCCTTAACTTCCTTTACTTTTAACTTGACAGCCAACATGTCACAATAGTAAGCTGATTGTAGTTTGAAAGCTACAGTGAGGGCACATCATATCATTCAGGGATAGTTTTCCAAGCACAATATGTGGATCTATGTGATAATCAGTTCATCCTAGTGAGTTATTTCAGCTGATTAATAAAACACATTTAGCTTGTATTTTGGAATCTCTTTTACTCTCACTAGCCTCCAGGTTCCTTTGTTCCTGGTTTATCCACAGGCAAGAGTCCTTTACCTACAGATTTCCTTCTGTGGCACATATATGTTCCTTACTGCCCTGGGTTCTTTTACTGAAGTGGAAATGTTAGATGCTGGAGATTATCTTAGTACCTACTGTGTGCCCTGCAGATGCACAAGCAGATGTGCCTCTGTCAGATGAGCTTTTGAAGATGACAGAAGGGAAGTGACTTTTGGATAAATTCATCTCATTCCACTTCCTGGTGCATCTCAGTATCCCGAGACACCGACTTTACGTAGACTCTTGATAGATGGCCTGGAAGACTGTGACCTCAGTCGAGTTTACTAGAGTCGTCAGCTTCACTACACATCTCACATTAGTGTTTCTGTCTTCCCTGCCTCACTCTTCAAACACGCTGGCTTTTCCGGGATTGAATTTACTGAAGCCAACCTTCATGTCTGTGGCTTGCGGTCATGGCCATCTATCACACATTTTCTTGGCACCTACAGCTGCAACTGCTCACCTCATTGTGGCTTTTCTACCATCCTCTTCATGCCACAGCAGCCGTGTGTGTTCTTCACTCTCCCGGGGGAGCCCACTCTCCCAGACTGTCCCATGGTTAAACACCAATTTCTTCATAGGAAAATCCCCCCTCTCTCTCTTTTTTTTTTTTAAATAATAACCGGAATCCATTTTTGTTCCTTTTTTTGCTAACCATCATTATGTTCTGAGATTATATAAAAGTGTGTTAGTAATTCCGATGCTTATTTTTCTGATGGCTGCCGTGTCTTTTCTGCAGTGAATTATTTTAGAGTTTGGGGATGAACAGAGGAGAATTACAACTTGGATAAAGAAAGTATAATAATTATGACGTTTAGTACTTTAAGTAAAGGATAGGATTCCATGACCACACCTATTCCCTCTATTTTCTCAACAGCCATGTTATTAGGTATTATTAAATGAGGAAACTGAGTTTCAAGAAGATTGACTTGTACATTGCTAGTAAGGAGTGGGTTGGATGTTGTGGTAATTACTCTTGACTGTTATCTTGCTGGGATCTAGAAACACCTAGGAGATTAAAAGCTGGGTCTGTCTGTCAGAGAGTTTCCAGAGAAGTTTACTTGAGTTGGGAAGAGCCACCCCAAGTGCAAGCGGCACTGTCCCCGGGATGTCACCTCCAACTGAATAAGAAGGGAAAGCAAGTGGAACACTACTGTCCGTCTCTCTCTCTCTGCTTCCTAACTGCAGATGCAATGTGACCAGCTGCTTCATGCCCCTGCCCACATACCTTCCCAGCTCTCAAACTGAGCTGGCATAAATCTTTTTTGCTTTAGGTTGCTTTTGTTTGATGTTTTGTTATTACAACGAGAAAAGTGACACACAGGGAAAATTGGTGCTGAGGAGGTGAGGCTATTGCTGTGACAGATCTGACCCTGGAATTCTTAGGCTTCTGGAAATAGTTTACAGGAGGAATGTGGGAAAGTTTTGAGATGAATGTTAGGGAGACCCTAAAGCTTTGCAAGCAGAGCATTGTGGTCTATTCTTGTAGTTGGAAATATCAGAGTACCAACGGAAATGTGGACATTGAAGACCCAGCTCATGAGATTCCAGAGAAGAACAAGAACTCCATCAGAAGCTAGGCATCACACAGACTTGGATTCCCTTTTCCAGTGTGGTTGCCCAGAGAAGTGGTTCCCTAGGGTCAGCCTGGAAACCAGAACAAGGCCACTGAAATTGTGTTCCAAGAGAACCAAGTTGACAGTGGATCTTGGCAGTGTCAGGCACATTTTTTTATATATAATAAACAAAATGTAAGAGTTATGGAGTCACACAGGCATGCATCAGGCTTCCAGAAGGCTGCAGAGGCCGGCAATGCATGGCTGCTCTAGATTCTCTGTAAAGAGTTCCTGATAATCCATTATGTAAAACTGCCCAGAAACATGGGATATCCATGAAGGAAAACTGTTGGCAAGGAGTAGACTTAATCCTACCCCCGAAAAGGCTATATTTACTTCAGGTGGTAGCATGTTGGAATGGAGCTGCCCAAGGTTGTTATAACTGAGGTGAGTACATTGTGAACTTCTCCCATACACAGAGCAGCAGGATTTGATGATGTCTGCCCTGCTGATTCTTTACCTTGCTTTGCCCTGATTTTTCCTTGCCATGTCCCATTCCTCCCTTTTGAAACCTGAATGTTAATTCTGTGGTTATTATATATTGGAAATATGTGACTTGTTTATTGCATGTGGCTTGTTTACTAGATATCCTTCCCTATAGAGGATCCCATGATGCTGCTATCTAGTCTTTTGAAATCTTTTCCACACCTGTACACCTGTATATTCTTGTGTGAAGACTGTCTTCCTAGCTGGACTGGAAACTTCATGAAGGTAAGGATTATGTCTGTTTGTTCATCACTGCTCATTGTTATCATAGTTCTTGGCATGTAGGTGTTTAATGTATTTTCTTCAGTATAAAAATGTGTACACACTCACACAGGGCATTGTAACTAAACACCCTATAGATAAATGTTCACTACTTGTTTCCGTGTTAAAGAGAACATCCTGTGATTATCTAGGCAAGTCTAGACACTAGAAAGGTAGGAGTGGGAAGTGTGTGTACTTGTAGTACTTTTTTATTTGACATTTCCTCTGAAAAGAAGTCATAGACTAGACAGTTGTAGTGCATGTACACTCACACATGAGTACACACACACTGCCCTTAGCACCATAAAACTGATAATACAAGTAATGTTAAGAAACATGAGGACATCACGAGTGGGATCAGCTTCCTGTAAAAATGACCCATCTCAAAGGTTATTCAACAAGTAGGAGTTCAGTCAAGATGATAAAGGTGTGATGTATACAAATAATGATGTATAATTAGATGATATATCAGACATTAATAATATCATGTATAGTACACGAAAGACAATAGCAAAGGTAATTTAATTATTATTCCCTTTAAAGAAAGATGGTAGTGGTAAAGGAGGATAATGGTATGTGTTAGATCTAGAACAGAGAGAAGAATGTGTGTTTTATTTCTGGCTTTGCACGTTGACCAGATTTACTAAAGAGTAGGTAGGAACATTTGGTCATTTGACCTTTTAATCATAAGTTCCCATAAAGTAAATGGAGTTTAGCTTTGTTACTGCTTTAATTCACTCAACCATGAAGCCATTCAGCTTCTTTTCCCCAAGTTTATTCTATCCCAGAAAAATGGTATGGATACATTATTTTATGTGGTTATATTAAGTAAAATATATCTTAAAATAATATCATATTTTATGATAAAGTAATACATGCAGAACATTAGACATCATATTTTCATAGAAGGTCTTGGGTTATTGTCATATGTCAACCTCTCACAGTGAGTACTGGTGGGAGTAGAATTGTGGGTATCAAAGCTCATAAAGGAGGTTTCAGTGATTTCCACTTGATGTTTTTATTAAAATTTTTAATCTTAATATTTTTGTAGCTTACAATTTATTTAATTTTTTATGAGAAAGGCTCTAGCCTAGGAAGTTTTGGAACTCATTTGTAGCTCAGGCTGACCTCAAATAAGAGGCTGAAAAGAGGAATGCAGAGAGATTGTGGAAAGAAATGCAAAGCCATAGTAATAAAAACACAGATTTCTTTTTTTTTAAAGGGCAAATTAATTTTATTGGCTGATGAAAAACTAAAGTTATAAGATGTTTGGACAGAGAACAATAATCAAGTTCTTCTGGTATCCTATGTTTTT